GTAAGAAATAATTCCTTTTCAACCATGTGATGCTCCTTTAATTTGTATTTAGATACACCTGTCACAAGTAAGAGGTGTGGGCAATATAATAATAATACTTTCAACCAGTTAAGATGGAGAAAAGTTGCCTCAAGCTTTGTTTGCCTCAAACAAACAAAGCGCTGGAGAGTTCTGAAATTGCCAACAGTAAGTCCAGATCTGAATCCCATCGAACATTTGTGGAGAGATCTCAAAACAGCAGTTGGGAGAAGGCATCCTTCAAATCTGAAGGCCTTGGAGCAGTTTGCAAAGGAAGAGTGGACTGAAATTCCAGGTGTAAGAAATTCATTCATGGTTACAGGAAGCTATTGATTTCAGTTATTTTTTTCTAAAAGGGGTGCTACTAAAGATTAAGTTAAGGGTGCCAATAATTTTGGCCATCACATTTTTGGGTTTCTGTGTGGGATTGTTTCAAATTTGACTTTTCTTCTGTTTTTTTTATTAAAAATCATATTTATTTTCAAAGAAACTAACAATACTATTCTTTTTTCAGACTCCATAACAAAAGCAAAGTACTGTAGCACTTTAAAGACTTAATCACTTTGCTGGCTACAATTAGAGTTGAAACATTTTGAAAAGAATCTAATAAAAATTAAAGTTTCATTTTTAAAGAAAGGTGATTTTTATTCTGTTTGCTCTTTAAAAGATTATGGCAGAAAAACCAATGTAGGAAGACTACTTTTTAATATTGAATGTATGAGTTCAAAGGTTTCATCAAAATGATTGGTAAGAACATAGAACACAATTTCAACTTAGCTTAGTTAACATCACTCAGTGAAAAACATAAAACAACATGCTGATAATTTCACCAACAAAACAACAAAGAACCTATTACTATTACTATATTATTAGCAAAGGACACACCACTGTTCACAAATGACTTTGCCTTGTGGTAGTTAACTTGCCCACCCTAGTGAGATGCCGCTGTCTTTATCTCAGCTACCTGGAATACCCAGATCTGGACAAACAAGTATGGCAAAATATATTACACTGCTAAATGGAATTACATCCTCCTTACATTATATATGCCATTTATACAGTGGGGTCTTGACTTGAGAACTTAATCCGTATTGGAAGGCGGTTCTCAAGTCAAAAAGTTCTCAGGTCAAATCTGCATTTCCCATAGGAATGCATTGAAAACCATTTGAGCCGTATCTGCTCTTTTCCGTCCATAGAAACTAATGGGAAGCTGCTATTCCGCCTTCGACCACTAGAGGGGGATATTTTGTTTCTTTTTTTCTTAGGTCAAGAAAGGTTCAGGGAAGGCAGGGAAAATACAGTCCAGGCAGTACCAGGCAGTCTAAAGACTCCCAATCCACCCTCTAAATGCTGGGAGGAGTGAGGAAGCAGACAGGCACCCTTTTCACTGCCCAACAGTTAACTGAAAGTTCAAATTTTGCACTTTCCCTGCCTCCCACGTGGTTTTTTTTCAGTTTGTAACTCAAATCTAAGTACTTAAGTCAAGTCAATATTTTCCTATGAGAGTGGTTCTTAAGTCAAAATGTTCTTAACTCGAGCTGTTCTTAAGTCAAGACCCCACTGTACTTCTGTATGCATAATTATTTAAAAAGAATAAGGAGGCACCACAAGGACCTTAAAATCTAAAGCTCAACATAGGTAACAACGCAAGAAAAGGAAATATGATAGCTCTGTTACAGATGCTTGGGCTTAAACTGCCACATTTCCTCAGTGTTTCTGCTCTTTATGCTATGATCCAGCAGTCTGATAAGAACAGAAACTCATATGTGCCTTTCAAAGCCTCTAAAAGTCTCCCTAGCTGGTGTCTCTCCTTTGCTGTTGAGCTACAACTCTCATTATTCAGAACCATCACAGAGAAAGCTTGCTCTTGGGAACTAGGTTAAATTCCACTATCACCAACTCTGCTGTTAGATGATGAAATTATCTTGGAAGAGACAAAGAAAAAGTGTCACAATTCTAAGACCTCTAGATATTTATTTGTTTAATCTCTGATTCTTTAAACACAATTTAAGTTTCTTTTCAAACTAGTACAAAGTTAATTATGTACTGTATTGAGTACGGCATACAAACTCGGTTAACATTTTAGGGTGAAAGGATTTAACTTTCCAGATCCATTCATAAGCAACAAAAAGTAGGCTTGTTTGCTAAAAAAGCTCCCTCAATCTTGTGATCTGAAAGTATACTCAGTGGGTGTATTCACACAATATCACAAGCCAGGAAACTGCAGGATTCCTAATTCATAATAAACATGCAACATCTTAGTGCATCCTATTCAATTGCTTTCACCTGCAGCAGGAATGGTTAAACAAGTCACAGAGTTTTGCTCTATGATTGGTTTATTGTGTCATCTGGAAGCAGACGTACAGTATTTCCATTTCTGGTTCAATCCCTCCAAATGGTCCAGAGTTTAGTTTTTTTTTTTTTTTTTAACAACACGCTGCTGAAAGAATCAAGGGCTTGTTCTTCACTTTTTTGTCTTTAGTTTGTTGGGATGGAACCAGAGAATGACACGGTAAACCATCTGCAAAAGAAAGCTCCACAGTTGGGCAACCTCCCACTCTCTGTGCAGTGTACATATTCATCCCTGGACCTTGGGGGCCAATACTTACATTTGCAACTCCTAGGTCTCAAAAAAATGGGGGTAGGGCATTACTAAAAAGTTTGCTTTACATCTTCTTGGCCTGGAAAATATACTGTACAAGGAATAAATGTAAATAGAATCAATTGTCAAAAGAGATTGTGCATGATAGCTCCCCTGGCAAATCAAACTAGCTTCTCTCTTGAAAACTGAGTAAAAATAAAGTTCCAGCAAGAGAAGATTGACTTCAACACCCAAATAAAAAGCTGTTACCTTATTATGCCTATATTCTATAAAGGTATGGTATTTAATTAACTTGCAAACTTGGTATCCAATTACCATATTTTATACCTACATGCAGTTTTTCTCACTAACTGCAGCCATTAGAATCACTGTGAATTTTGGCAGCACATAGATGGCAATCACTGCAATTCTAGAATATTCCTATGAAATACATTATATCTGTTGAAAGAAACACCTACATCAATTCTACAGAAACTGCCTTAAATCAATTTCCATGCTTGGATTTCCACACAGAATACAAACTATGAAAATTTCTGGCCAGAGTCCTGTTGGGGGATGGGGAGGCATGCAACAGTAATCATGCAATTAGTTTACATTATTTGACATCTCGTAACTGATTTTACAAGTGGTCACAATATCTAGGCTTGCTCAGACAGCACAAATCACTGAAGAATCACTGTATGCACAGTACTGTATTTTTTTACATAAGATTCTGGCCTGTACCTCTTGAAAGCCTTGACTTATAATTTGATTCTGAGATGGCATACCATCCTATCTGCTGTGGTTTTTTAACCATATATGACTGTTAAAATGACACACATTTTGCAAATAAGGTTTTTTAAATTTGTCTTACCAAGATTGTCAGATAACAGAACACAATGAGCCAGAAATCAAAAATAAAAGTTACAGTCCATCAAGTTTCAAAGTTAAAACTTTAGTTACATAAAGCAGCCTCAGAGGTAATCTACTTCAAAAACTTTCAAAAGCAGCAAATCCTTAACATGAGTTTTGAATAAATAGAAAGCTATATCATGGCAAAGGTACTGCAGAACAATGGATAAGTTTAAAAATTCAAGAGTATATGGCTTCAGTCAGCCAGTCATTTTAATAAAAGAAAAAGTATACGAAAAAGGTGCTGAAGCCTGATAATCCAGAAACTTGCCCAATTTTCTCTGAACTTATTATGGTTCTTGATAAAACTTGAGAGGTATATCAAAGTAGACTGAAAGATAATAAGGGACCAGAATTTCCACAATCTCTTTAAAAAATATTTGTTATAAATGTTCATTGCTTTGAACATGGATGGACTCATACTTGATAGAAAAAGAGGGAGGTCCAGATGAATCAGGAGGTGAACAGAGTTGCAGCTATAACTGTAATGGGGAAGAGGCTCAAAGCATCATCTGCACAAACAAGTCACATATCAGGGAAGAGAAACACATATGTGTGAAGAACATTCTGGTGGAATATTGCAGTAAGTACTGTACTAGGTAAGGAATCGATACTGTCAAAATGTCTATGAGAGAAAGGGTGCTGTCATTAAGGTGCCATCAAGGAAATCCTCCCATGAAGAATAGGAAGTAAACAGTAGAACAAGCAAATACAGTAAACTGAATTTGGTAAAATGGTTTGTTTGTTTATTGCATTGATATTCTGCTTCCATTACTGCCAAAGCACTACTCTGGACGATTATTATTATTTTGATTTACAATCAATCCTAAAGAATCTTGCAAACAATTGAGAACATGCACGTAGTAAAGGTGTTAAAAAAGAAAACTGAAAACAAAAAAAATCCTAGGTATGGAAGGTAAGTTAATTAAGGCTGCAATCTTGCGCAGATTTATTGAGAAGGAAGCCCTCCATCGGGCCTACTCTAAAGGAAGCATGCAGAGACCTCACATTCACACTAAGCTGAAACCGATGAGTTCCCTACCCAAACCGAACATTTCTACGAGCAAAGAACTGCCATCAAAGGGCATGAAGAAGACAGGGCGCCTTCTCCAGCAAGGAAGAGGATTAACCACTGGGCGTGGTCAAAGGCCGTTAGGGATTCAAATAACCACGCAAAGGCGGCGTTGGTCGTTCCGGATTAAACAACCCGGGGGTTACGTGAAAGAAAGCTCGTGTGAACGGGAGTGGGGAAAGCGTGCTGGCACGGAACGACGTCTGGAGGAGACCTTCTGGGAACAGCGGGTTCTTTATCCCAAGACGACAGGAACCGTCCGCCAGAACTATGTATTTTTTTTGGGGGGGGCGGCCGGCCACATGAGGGAAGGCGGAGAAAGGCGCCGGGGCCACCGGGCCAGGCCCTTCTGAGGCGATAACGCGTGAGTGCGTGTGCGAGCCAGGCGGAGGGAAACAGGAGAGGCCTCCCCATTACCTTGTAGCGACGACCACACGGGGCTCAAAATCCTCTCACCGGACGGCGCTGCCCGGGGTGTGGAGGAGGAGGGGGGGAGGGGAGGGGAGAGGCGGTGGCGGCCGCGAAGCCACCCACAGCCCCACCGCGCGCACGCGTACATAGACACCGACACACACCACACACCCAAATTCACCCACTGCTGGGCACCCAGCGCTTGCCCTGTCCGCCTCTAGCCCCGCCCCACCCCTACACGGAGCCCAGGCCTCCGAGGCCGCCATTGGTTCCCAGGTCTGACACAGAGGCTTTCCGACCAATCCGTTGCGAGGCTGCCTCACCTATCACACGGCGGGGCGTGTGAGAAGTGGAGGAAACAGCTACAGTATTGGAAGTGAACCGCAGCGGGGAGGTGAGGTGCAGCGTGTTCTGATTGGTCGGAAACAGACTCACTCTCCACCTCTCTTTCCAGCTTTCTTCAGAGGAGCTCATTCGCTGGTGTCGACGGGAACCCGCCTTCGTCTCTCTGTCGTGTGCCTCCTATTGGCCGGCGGAGTGGAAAGCGGAATACGGGGTGGGAGGGGGACGACGACGCCTCGGGAGGCAGGGCTGAGGAGTTGGTTCTGGGTACGGGTTAGCGGTCCTCAGAGAAATACATCCGCCCCTCTCCAGCCTCGCGTAATGACGTCAGCAAAGGCCTGCGCTGGTTTTTCCAAGATGGCGCCACGCAAGGGGTATCGTTGACGGCGCGAGGCGGTTGGGGTTTCGGTGAGTAGCTTTTGGCCGGGGCCTACCTGAGGGAGGGAAGGTTGCCTTGTTGTCGTTACCGGGGAGGTCGACGGGTTCTGAAGCCCAGAAGGCCTTTTTGGGAGCGGCCACAGTAACGACGGGTGTCGATACGTTTTACCTATACTGTACCTGTATTTTTTAAAACAGGGATTTTCTCTGAAATACAGAAAAAGCTTTAAGTAAATGCCTGAGATGAGAACGGAATAAGCGTGAGGTGACAGGGTAGCCTCGCGCGTTACGTTTTTTGGCTTCCTCACGATACGGGTTGGGAGAAGAGTTCTTTAGAGACCGTAACGATGTTTTGAGATACTGTATCGGTCTTCAGCCCGTTTTGCGACGCGGAAGCCCCTCGATTCGATGTCATTATAACACTTGAGTGATTGTCAAAGAAAAGGCAAAAGGGAAGAAACTAAAACTCTACTAATATTTGAGGGGGGAAACGAAAGACTGGTGTTTGAAGTTGTTTTGAGAGGTTTAAGAGTATCCACTTAGTTTAGTTTTGCACATCTTGGAATTGGCAGATAAGATTTTATACGAGATGAATTTTTATTATTGCGAACTATATGTCTACATCGTGATGTCAGGTTTTTTTTTTCCAGTTTGTCACTGTAGCTGCCTCTTTAACTGTTTTGGCACAAGGCCCATAATTGGGTTTCTTTCTGTACCAAGTTGGGCAGTTGTTGATCTCCAGGTATTGTTGGTCTGCTGTTCCAAGCATTCCTTCGTTGTTGGCTCTGGCAGGTGAGAGTTGTAATCCAGCAGCATCTGAAGGGTCACAGTGGCCTACCTTAGCTCTATGCCTTGCTGCCTTTCAGTTGCGATTTTATTTGTAGCAAGAAGAATGGAAACAGTGCAGGTCAGATTCCCTCCCCACCTGTTAGTTAATAACTTGAGTAGTGAACTACTAAATCACTTGACAGTAAAGACACAGACCTGCGTTGATGGAACAGCCAGAAGAATCAGCGTCATTGAGCGTTATGAACTTGTTTGGCAATACAGTGGTGCCTCGCACAACGAGTGCCTCACACAACGATGAATTCACATAACGATGTCTTTTTCTGATCAATTTGCTGCCTCACACAGCGATGTTTCCTATGGGGGATTTTCACATAACGATGTCCCTTTTCCCTCATTTAAAAGTGTCTTAAACTGTTAGGAAACTGTTTTAAATGCTTGGCATCGATAGTCCAGCTTGTGAAAGGCATGCAAACTTAATTTGGTGTTGTTCTGAGTCTTCGTTCATTTTTGCTGATTTTTTTATTTTTCCTCATTGAAAT